GGGATTGAACTCAGGCCCTTGCGCTTGCCAAGGAAGTGGTTATTCCACTGAGCCATGTCCCTGGCCCCTGTGACACCCACTTCTGCCTGCCTTGTCATGCCTGGGCTCTAAGGGGGATCAGGGTGGATGCTGCGTGAGTGTGTGGCCACACAAGCCCTGTCTGCACCTGTGTGACTACGTGTGTGTGTGTGTCTATGTGTGTGTATATCTGTGTGTATCTGTGTATGTGTCTATATGTGTCTATGTGTGTGTGTCTGGGTGTCTATGTGTGTAAGTGTGTGTATCAGTGTGTGTGTGTATGTCTCTGTGTGTGTCTGTGTGTATGCGTGTGTGTGTCTATACCTGCGGGTCTAATGAGGACCCGAGGCACAAGGATGAGGATGGGCACCGAAAGCAAAGCCGCTCCTCCCTGGAGGCAGAGATGTGCTCTTTGTCAAACTGAGGACCCTCCTGGTGGCACATGGCTCTTGTCTCCCACCAGTCCCAACACAAACCTTAGAGCTTGGACAATGCACATTGCAGACCCCATGGGAGCCTCCCCAGGGAAGATCCATGGGGAAAGACACTCAGGGATGCAGCAGGTGACAATTACTAACTGCCACCACAGAGCAGGCACACTGTTGGGTTCTGCAAAGCGTCCACCCACGAGCTCCTCTCAGTGTTCCCTGCAGGAGATCTGGGGTGGCCCCGGGGCTCCTTCCCTCCCCCGTCCAGATGGCCTGGCATCCTGTGTGGACAAAGGCAGGCCAGGGAGGACAGCGAGGGCCTCGGGAGACAGCAGCAGCTCGGACACAGACACCGCCCAGGGTCAGCAGACGCCCCAGGCTCTCATCCTGCAGACAGGGCCCCCATCACAAAGAAACTGAGTGTCCCAATATCCCATACACAGTCTGTGAGTCCCCAAAGCCTGATAGTGCATGAGGGACAGTCGGTGCTGTGCATTCAGCCACAGCCTCCTGCAGCCTCTGCGGCCTCTGCACCCTGCTCAGTAAGTCCTGCTCCAGGGCCTGCGCTGCCACGGTTGGTGCTGTGAGCCCCCCTGCAGGGTTCTGTGTCCTCACTCTATGCAGGGAAACTGAGGCACACTGTGCAGCTCCCTCTTATGGCAGAGGCAGGACCTGAGCCCTGGCAGTGGTGTCTTAGGCATCCTAGATATTCAAGGGCAGTACACTCTGCCTGCAGCTCCCAGCACACAGTAGGCCCACAGGCTTAGCACTAGGGATGATGCTGACTTAATGCCTCTTCCTCCTTGTGCCATCTCCAGGCCTGAATGGGCCCTGTGCCCTGGAGTCCCAACCTCTCCCTGCAGAGAGCTGAGAAGCAGCCTGGGCAGCGCCAGCCTCTGCCCTGGTCTGTCCTCTGCCTCTGTCCTCTCCCCTGTCCTGTGAATCCAGCCCTCTCTGGGCGGCAGCTTCTCTGTGTGTTACATAAGGGCATGGACAAAAGCCCTACCAACTTCCCTGAGGCATGGAAGCCCTTCCGATCCTGATCTAACCCACTTGCTGCTGCTAACCTTGGTGATTGCTTTAATCTTCCTGTGCCCCAAGAAGATTATAACATGGGAGCAGGGTCACTTGCACCCGAAGCCATTGCAGGAGCAAGGGCAGCTGACAGGGCAGGGGCTCAGGACCCAGCATGCCCAGTGTGTGAGTTTCCAGCTCACTGACCCGGGCCCTGAGCCTCCGCCTCTCTGGGCTCTGGGAA